CTGTAAGAATTCCACCAGGTTACTCATACTTGGAGGCGTCCTCTTGTGTAACTCTCAACTCTGCCTCCTTAAAACAAGGGTGGCCAAGGGCATGTTTTCTCATCTTTGTCAGACCTGAATATACTTTAGCTAGACACATTGCACTGGGCACCCAAAATTATACAGCATGCAATAATGCCTGGGGCCAATGTCTGTTTGTCATGCAGCATGCAATAATGCCTGGGGCCATTGTCTGATTGAGATGTAGCACGCAATAATGCATTGAGCCAATGTCTGTTTGTGATGTAGCTTGCAATAATGCCCAGAGTCATCGTCTGTTTGTGATGCCCCATACAATAACGCCAGGCACCATTGTCATCTTTATCCCCCCGCCCCCCAGCTAAGTTTACTGCTTCTGTCACAGACTGTGGATGTAAAAGTGATGTGCATAGTAGAACCTGGCTCAGATGGGGCAGGGCTGGGGGAGAAGCTGACACATGTATCTACATGACACTCAGGAAAGTCGTACATGTGCCGGACCTGAGCTCTCCAGCCCTGTCCGGTTATTGATCCGCGTTTACAGCTCACTTCAGTTCATGGCTGTGTCATGTGGCATGACGATGGGCATCCAGGTGTTTCTGCCACCCTCGCACCTATCTGCACCCATGACCTTTCATGGACTTTGCCTTACAAATGACACTTATTCTGTGGCACGCTATGCTGCCTGGTTTTCAGCCGCGCCCTGTTTTCACCTTCTCCTCCCCTCTTTTATACATTTCTTGATTTCCTGCTGCCGGTTCCCAGCTGTTTCCTGCTGCTGTCATTCTCTAGTATTACACATTGCCAGTAGTTACCTCTTGAAGTCTCTAAATGTTTCTTTAAGCCCATGCATCTTCCAAACACTTACACTGAGCAGAGTTATGTGTGTGTGTGTGTGTGTTTGGGGGGGGGGGGGGGGGGGTGCTGGATAGGCAGTATAGGGCGTAGGACAGGGCTACACCAATTGCAGGGCACATACACACATTTTATATCTCACAGTTTGCAATGTTTTTTTAATCATATTTTGTATCATTATCATTCACACAGTCATACTTCCTGTATGCACCTATTCTGCACTACAGTACTTATTGTATAATTTGCCACACAACCATAATTTATATTTATAATTTACCATATTTGTGTTTAATGTATTTGCCCCTGGTTAGATGCTAACTGCATTTCATTGGCTCTGAACCTGTACTCAGCACAATGAACATAAAGTTGATTCTAATCTAACATGCAGAATCACTCTCATCAAACCAGGGACAAGGCTAAAAGTCCAGGGTCCCCATCCACATCTGGGCCCTTTGAATCATTCTAATATTCTGGCACATTTGTGCACCCTAGCAACTCACACAGCT